TAAAGTAAAATCTACAGGAAGACGGGCGGCGACGTTAAAAAGAAATAGATCTAACCTGTCAAAATAAAACAAGAATCTGATCCTACAAAATAAAATCAAACAAAACAAAGGTTTAAAAACCGTCAGAACATTTATTAAAACACACACACACATTATGTATAAAGATTTTAAAACTTATTATTATTGTTTCTTCCTTTAATTATAGTCTTAAAGACACAAACTTAAACTTTTTATATTTAAAGTTATAAAATAAAAATAATAAATTTCTTTAATAGTTCATTTATTTTTGACTGAAAAGATCAAGTCTTGTTGCTGAAGTCTGGACTTTAAACGTCACCTGTCAGAGGGACAGTCCCCCCCGGTCCCCCCCCCCCTCCCCGGGCCCCCGGGTTCCCCCTCTGCTTCCTGAAAATGGCGCAGTCCAACCGAGAGGTCTCACTCCTCCACAGAAACCAGGACTGAAAACTGCACGAGCCTTCATGTGGACCTGCTTTGGTTTTATTTTAAAATTTAAAACGTTTTTTAAGAACACAGAAATAAACAACAAAACAAACATTTAGAGAAATGACAACACACTGAACATTTTTACCTCTCGCACAGTGATGGCTCAACATGGGCACCAGTGATCCCGCGACCCGAAAAGGAAGAAGCGTGTAAAAGATGATGGACGGATGAACGTTTTCGTTTTTTATACTTTAACGGTCACTTTTATTCTCAGGAAACTCTTAAAATAATCTGGAAAACATTAAGTTGTCCAATAAGCATCTTTATGTTTTAGACAAACATTTTAAAAACAGACGAGGGTCTTCATCCTGACAAAGGGATATTTTGGACATTTTGAAGTGGGGTTCCTATAAGTTATTAGCTCTTTAGAAGATCTCGGTTTTAAGAAATAAAGTTTAATCTGACCAGATTAACGAGCTAACGGCTGCTGCAGATTAATGTTGTTTTAAAGTCCCATAGTTGAAATCATTATTGTGGAAACCTTTTCCCCGCAGTTTCTCTCCCGCAGTTTTTTT